AATTCACAAAAGCAAAGACTGAAAGGATAACCCGACTAGAAACCAAATAAGACTACATCATTTCTCTCTTTTGTCCAAAAAATTGAACCAAACACGACCAAATATGATCATCATACTTGGATATCAAAAGCGTAGAGAAGCGGTCAAAAGCTAGCTTCTAAGGCTTTTACTGGGCTTGAGGGCTTTTACTTGGGCTTTTGATGCAAAAGGCTTTTTGAACAAAAGCTACAATATTTGGGGGTTCCAAAGCATAAAAGTGTGGGCTTTTAGGCTTTAAAGTTAGCTTTTGACTGCATTGATTGCAGGTTCACTCTGGAAGTCTGGCATATTCTGAGCATATTTGTTTTCATTCGCAGGGATAGTAGTAGTACATCAAATATACAAGATATAATCAAAGCCTGGCCACAACAAAATCCGTCCAGCCCACAATAATGGTGTACGAAAGTGATGCTCCATGCTTTTCATTGAGAAGTCTGGCTTGAAAGGAATAACAGAACGTTCAGCAACACCAGGGCTGCTGCTAGACTCCTCGAGTTCAAAATTGGCAACGTAATCTCGTATTGGCTGATTGTGGCAAAGAAAATTGATCGATCAATGTCAGAAATTCGGCTAAGAGAAATGAGGAACAAACTTCTTCCAATCTCGGCTTCGAAATTTCTTGTAGGACAGGACGGTGTGAGTCATGTTCCAAATCCTTATGCTTTTGGTGCTTTGCTGGGTAAAGGCTTCATCGCATGGTTTTGGTATTGCTATTGATTGGTGTTTGAATTGGACTTTATTTTGGATTTGTTTGTGTGGAACACCCTTGTCTTCCCATCATCCCTTTTGTGTTCGACCATCTAAGTATTACTTTCTTATTTCATTGATTTGTAGATATCAAACTTAGCATTAAAGACCTTGCCAAGGAGCAAGGTCATCCAACTCAATGAGTATTATAGGCTATAACAGTCATAGGTTGAAGAATCTCACAACAGTTAAAAGAGTAGTTGAGCTATTTACTCGCTAAAACTACAGTAATCCTGACAATGCGAATTGTAACAAAGACAGGATCGCAGTATTGTGGCACGAGTAATAAAATATAGAATCCACGTGTCTCTAGCTTTTCCTTTATTCAGCTTCATTTTATTATTCAACATAAAAATTTCATATAAAAGAACTACAACTACACTAGCAAACTATGGTTAATGTTAATCTAATTACAGGTTGAGAACTCACTTAGGTATGATTCCCCCTAGCCACTAACCAGATTAATGATTGATGATCTGTAACTTGTTTCACTTGTTACTCATAATGCGGAAAATCTCACTAAATCTTGAATCTCGATTAAAGCGATCAAAGCCCTCTTGAGTCGGATGCTTAGAGGGATGTATCATTTTCTAGAACAACTGATCAAGGTGTTCAAAACTAAAATCTCTCTATCGAATGAGGTTCTCAACTGATGCGTAGCAAGGAACCAACTCACTCTCGTGTTAACGATCGCGTACTATGACCTAAAATATGACCAAGAAACACAACCTAGTGTTAAATAAGCAAACAGAAGCATGTTATCAAGACAAATGGTCAAGAAAAAATCAAGATCTGAAGGGTAAAACATGTATAATATGCACATATCAGCTACTCAAGGAAAGAGACCCCATCATAGTCGTTCTAATGAAGACTAAAAAAAGAAAATGAATGGGAAGCACTCATATAAGAACTAAGATGGATAAAAGGAAGGGGAGTAGGATCGCGTAACAGGGCAGGGATTACTGTTACTATGGAAGGAGGATGTACAGATTGCTATTCTATCACTAAACCATAACTACATTGATGCTTGTATGGTTGTATCAATGAAGGTATAGATGAGAACCAGTGGTGCCTAATCCAAGGAGATGGGTTTGGTGGCAAGGAGGCATGGTATCAACCTCACAAGGCAGGGGAGTCATCCAACAACTAAGTATGGGAAAAAAACCCGACAAGATGAGTTTAATGAGGATCCAAAAGACTAAGTATATATATCAAATAGGCAGGGTACCAATCCGATGGGACGGAGGTGGCCAGTTGGCTGCCAAAGGGACAACTTGACAAGCTCTTAAAAGCTAAGTATGGAGACCAAATCGGCAAGTCGGGATTGGTGTCAGGCTGACATGGTATCAAGTCGACAGGGATAATCTCTCCCTTCTCAAGACCAAGTATGTAATCTCGGGGAGAAGACTAGTCATCCAAAGCATCAATCAGACTAGATGGACTTGCTAACAAGCTGGTGAGACCGGTTTGCCAGCAAGACAGTAGGGTATCGTATTGACAAGATGGTTTTGATACCGAGATGATAAGTTGGCAGCATAGCGAGCTCCTAAAACTAAGTGTTGAGTCCTGATCAATAAAGGGCCATGTACTTAGAAGTGAAGGATTTAAGTTATCATCTCGTCATGGCGGGTAACATGGCCTCATCGAGGTTGCTAGCAAGACAAGGATATCAAGTCGATGAGGTAGGCTAGGTAACAAGATGGTACCAAGTCGACAACAAATGAGCTAAGCGGGGAGTCATTGGGTCTGGCAAGAGTGTGATTGAGACTTCGTCAAGTAAGCAAGGCAAAGATCTTCAACCTCATCCAGTAAGGACAAGGTGACAAGACTTAACACCAACCATGCCCGGCGTTGAGGCAATCAAGCACCAACCAAACACCAAGATGGGACGAGGTGTCCCCAAGACGATGGGAGTAAACACCAGGATGGAGTTTACCAACTAGTCATAAAAGCGACGATGAGGATCCTGAGGCGGTTGTAGCAACCGACCAACTCATAACCATGCCAGTTACACCTGATGGATATAAATAGGAGAAAGGGTCCCAAAACCAACATTTGACACTACATCTAAATTTTTATATTTAGTCTGTAATAGTCAAAGCTTTAGTTCTTAGATATCTCTCACTGAACCTCCATAAGAGTAGAGGCAGTTTAACTTTGTTGTTTCCAAAAGTCATCAAAACTCTCGTTCCGAACATTGTTTCGAGAGGTGTGAACTGTGTTAGTATCATTGTTCAAAAAGTCAAAGGTGCAATCTTTTTTGTTTACGAAGAAATCACTTGCATTAACACGACAATATGTTACAAAATGCAGACCTCCAGAAAGAGCCAAGCATCAAAATCGAAACCACCACAACCTAGCGGAACCAAAGAGAGGGCCTTTTTAGCCACACTATGGGCTACCCCTATTGTTTCCTGCCAAAAAACCGATACTCTAAATCGGATACGGGAACACCACCCTGCAGATTTCCTCATAGATTGCCCCCCACTACAATCCCAAATGACACATGCCTGAACTTTTTCAATAATTACCTTAACATCACCCACAATTCTAGCCCGAGACAAACTTGAATCAACACACAAATGAATTGCTTCTCGCAAAGCTAATAGTACCGCAATAATGATTTAGTACGTTTATATTTTATTTATTTATTTTGCAGTACCTAAACTTTTAAAATTTTACATATAAGTATAATCTATCGCTTTGAGAAATTTCAAATTTGAAATTCACAAATAACACCCTATAAATTTGGTACAAATTTAAATATAATATGTAACTAATGTACAAAGTACAAACAAATAATATAGTATTTGAAAGGTTTAATTCACCCGCATAGCCATAACTTTCACGGTTTTGACAAATATAGCCACTTTTTGAAAAATACACAAATATAGCCACACTTTTGAAACTAAATTGACAACTTTAGCCATTTCCGTTAAATACTTTAACGCCGTTAGTAACTCTGTGAAAAACTTGGATGTTATGCTGATGTGGATGCCACCTCGACACCCACGTCAACTCTCACTCCACATGGCATGCCACATCATATTTTAAATTAAAAAAATATTTTTTTATGAAATTTTAATTAAAAAAATTGTGATTCCTCTGTCGCTCGACGGTAGCTTAGAGGTAGAATCCTCTTTCTCGCTGGAAGCTTCTAAGCCGAATCAGAGCAGGCAATCAGAGAGGTGATGAAATTGGGGGATGCAGCTCCGACAGGGGCGAGAGGCTAGAGTTCGCCATGGAAGTTTCCTTCCTCCGATGAGGTGGAATCCAAATTCGAGAGAATCATCAGAGAGGGGATGTGATTGGGTTGGTAAAGCAAGGTTTCTCAGGGCCTAGAGTTCGGCCCCCTTCAATGGCGGTTCTCAAACCTTGGCATCTGGTAATCTCCAAATAGACAGTTCTCCCTCTTTCTCCCCTTGTCAGACCACAATCACAAAACCCACAAAAACCCATCTCTCATAATTCGATTTCGAGCAAGAAATCTCACCAATCTCCCTTATCCCTCTCCTCCCCTTCCTCTCTCCACCTCCCACCACCCGCACCACGACGGCGGCTAAAGACAGTTGAAGTCTATGCTAATCGATGATTCAAGGTACGACAAAAAGGAAGAGGACAAAGTGTCTGGCGAAGGCTGGGTTTGCGTTGTTGATGATTGAAGAGAGGGGATGCTCAATGACCATTCAGGGAGCTGACTAGCAGAGGCGCGATATGCCGCGGCCAGCGGCAGAGGAAGCCTTCTCCCCCAACTCAAAGTTACCGGATCTAGATGACAAACAGAAGGGTACCCACCGTAGCGAAGTTACTCATAGCTTGATATTGATATGAGGTAGGAAAGAATAGAGGATGAAGCTGGCAACGACGAGACCGACGGCTCGGGGAAGAAGAAAAGAAAGAATTCCAAACGACGGAAGAGGGAGATGGGTCGCTGGAGGGTTTCTCGAAGAAGAGGGAGAAGCCGACTTTTCCTTTATTTATTTATTTATTTGGAGTATTTCCACCAAGGCATGATTTTGACGGAAAATCACCACGTCAGCGGAAGTAGTTAGTCCAGTCAGCACTTCAAACGATTTCGTTAAAGTTATTGACGGAATGGCTATTTTAATGTATTTTTCAAAAAGTGGCTATATTTGTCAAAACCGTGAAAGTTATGGCTATGCGGGTGAATTAAACCTATTTGAAATTACAAATCCAAATCGTTTTATCCAACACCCATAAAAAATGTATGTGATCATCACGTTCTCCTAAAATATTAGCAGAAGGAGAAACAGAGTCACAAGACTAACTTGGCACATAACATTCGAAACACTAGAAGCCTTTCGGCCTCTCAAATGCAGTCAATAAACAAAGAACGGTTAACTTCACAATGTTCAGAAACATCCCCCTCTCAAACATTCCCCTTCTTTGGTTCCTCTCTTCCCGTTTCCCTTTTCGCTCTCTTTTATTACAATAAAGGTAATCTGCTTTGCGTACGAATCCATATCTTTTCCCCGTCTAGCTTACAAGCTTCAAAAATTTACAATGCAGCAGCAGCAACCCAAAAGGTATATTCACAGATCACCGGTTCCGGGCAATCATGAACTCTCACCTCGTCAAAGAAGAACAAAACACTAAACGACATTACAGAAAGTTAGAAAGAAACCCTCTGCAGATAATGCATTAGTTCATTATGCTCATACAACTGCATCAGTAGCCAAGCTCGGCCTCTGGTTTCTACTGATGGGCAAATGCACATAAACCTCGTGAACATCCGACTTATACACTTCACCTCTGTCCCTATCTATCGCATAACATATGTAAATCGTGTTGATCACGTTGTCTAACACATGTACAAAGAAGCCCAACACCACAATCAGCACCAACCAGGCAAGGATCGCGACATAGTATGCATCAGTCCCGAGACTCATAGCACCCTTCAGTATTGCACACACCTGCATAGGCAAGAAATGCAGACATTTTGCAGATTGACGTTATTTGTCCAAATTGCAAGCTGTTTATTTTGCATTACAATGTGTGAGACGTAATTGCAAAACCTGGTGGACAGATGAGAATCAATTACTCACCACAATTGCATACACAGCTGAGAGTACGAACGTGATGCCAGCCAATATACGAGTGGAGATAACCTCCACCAGGACAGCTGAGAGAAGGTTACGTTTCAGGAGTTCGTAAGTCATTCTCGCAGAAGTGCAGTAGGCTTCACCAGTTATTGCCACGAAATTGATGGTGAACTTGTTCAGAAATTCGATTGAAGAGAGAAATAGATTGACACAAGTTCGGAGAACGAGATTTACAACCCCCGGACTATCTTCTCGTTTAGCACTATCAACGGCACCTCTCACCATGCGAACGATAAACATAATTAAACCAGAGAAACATATGCTGCCTGAAGATGGGCCAAACGCATTCCTACAGGAGTTTATAGACACATCAATGAGATCATGAAGAGGATGTGGCAATTTTCTGAATGTTGAAAAACAAAAGGAGAATGAAATCACCTCAATGAAGTTCTTATGCCACGTTTTGGAGGGGAATCGTTCTTTGAGAAGTACCACTGAGCAATAGTCCCACTGATCACATAAACTTGAGCTTCCATCATTATTGCAGAAGACCACAACAATGTCACAACCCCCAGCGTATAGTAAGCAGGCACCCAACTATCTTCCTTCCAACCACAATGATACTCCCCATTAGATTCCTTGGGCACAATCTTGCCATTAAACCTCGCAAACACTAAGAACACCACAATGGGAGCATAGTACACCACCAAACCAAACGACAACATTGGCAGAGCCACAAACAAACCCAAATTCTTGTACAGGGCATCGGCGGCAACCCCAATTATGCTTATAGTCAGCTCAACCCGATACCAATTCACAACTAGAACCCAAACCAGGACCCCAATCACCACAAATATGAGAGACATGACGAAAATTCTATAACCAAGTGGTAGGTCATCGCTGCAGGACGAGCTAACCGTGCATGCAACGAACCAGTAGATGTTAAAGAAAACCGGCATGACGATGAAGAAGGGGAGAGAAGCGTACACAAGGTATTTGGTGTAATGCCTGAGAGAGAAAAGCAGTAGAAAGCAGATGGGTCCACTGAGAATCACTGTGATAACGATTGCCCATATCAGCCCGCTGGTGAACCCACTGGAGCGCAACGAATTGACGAGGAAATAGTAGAAACTGTCGACTGTGGAAGCTGAATTGGGGCTGGCGGGAACGCAGGATGCCGATCGGGAGTCGAAAGTAAAGGATGAAAGGTTGCCGTAATTGGGGTTTCCGTGGACGATTGAGAAGATGCCGAATCCGATAGTGCAGAGAAGAACCAGGAGAAAGAGGACGAGAAAGGGCAGGTCCTTGAACGGCCGGTGACCGGAGTTGTAAGAGATCTGGAGGAACTGGGTCGGGTCAGATTCTGGATTAGGGTAGGAGGTGGGCTCGTGTAGCGGCGGCTTGAAGAGCAGCGGCTGAGTTGGGGAAGATGATGATGAAGTGGCAGGCGGGTAGTAAAGGGCCGCGATTCTTTTCTCTTGGTCATCAGTATCACTTCCCATCACAACTTGAGAAGGGAAAAATTGCGAACTTTATCTGGAACTCCGCCAAAGCGGGTGGCTATGGCGGCGGTGGTCGGAGCTTAGAAGGAACCTGCTGATAGTACTTAGAATGTATTGCTCTGGGAGATGAGTTGACTGAGCGGCGGATTAGGGGACGGGCAAAGCGAAGTGGGAAATTTGCGAAGGGCGGCTACTGTAAATCATCTTGTTAACAATCTGGGCTTTTAGTGTACGGTATGTAGTGAAATTGGAGACTACTTTGGTGCTGTTTTCTGGCAGCGCCACGATATTTAGATTTGGAATTCTTAAAGTAACCAAACTGTCATTTTGCTTGAAGAAGATTTAGCAGTGTTAAATGATGTGCAATTATACCAAGGCTAGCTGGAGGACCATGTGAACAACCCACGTGCCCAACACAAACAGATAATTAACACAACCAATTTCCAAAGCCCCACAATGTGCTCAAAGCAAAGATTAAATGGGAAGTTTATATTAATCACATTTGCCAAAAGTACATATTTAAAACCAAAATCATGGGAGGCAGAAGAAGGTAAAAGGGAAGAAAAAGATGAAGCTTGGAATACATTTTCTAAGTGAGAAGAGGGGCTGGTTTCTTTTTTTTTTTTTTTCTAGCAGATTTAAGATTATATGAATAATAATTAGTGATGATGAGAACAGATGATACAAAGAGTGAAGCAAGTAATGAATTTGAACAAAGCTACAAAAAAAAGTAGGGGGCTTTTATGGACTTTCTTGGTTGTGGGGGTTATCTTGTTTCTTCATCCCACTTGTTTTTTGGTATTTCACCAGAGTCTGCAATGACAACTTTCTTTCTGGGTTTCCCACTGTAAGTTCCAGCTCCACCTTCAATTGCATATACATAGTCCATCCCTTGAACTACTTTTCCAAACACAACATGCTCTCCATCCAACCTAACCACAGAGAAACAACCACATATAGACCGATTTTAAAGACTTCAAATGATGGTAGGAAGAAGGGTCATTAGAGCCAAAGAGTTGAGAGACAAGGGTTTTTTACTTACCAGCTGGATTTTATGGTGGTGATGAAAAACTGCGACCCATTTGAATCTGGTCCTGTATTTACCATTGACACAACGCCTGCATGGGAGTGTTTTACTTTGAAATTCTCATCTGGAAATGTACCACCATAGATGGATTCGCTCCCCTTCCCATCTCCATGGACTATGTCACCACCTTGGATCACAAACCCTGAGACGATTCGATGGAATGGTGTTCCTTTGTAGTGGAGAGGCTTCCCACTTGTCCCCGTGCCCTTTTCACCTAAAAGTGAACAAGGGTAAGTAAGTACAGTCCTTTAATGGGGAAAGAAGGTGATATCAGATACAAGAGGTTGTAAAACAGGATAAAAGAAGAAAGTTGATGAGTACGAACTCTCATTGGTACCTGTACACAATGCCCTGAAGTTTTCTGCAAACACAGGGGAAAAAAGAACACAAAGCTTAGGAAACAAGAACAAGGGAAATGGACTAGTCAGAGATGTTCAATATATTGACTGGCAAACTACCAAACTTTGAGAATTTATTTAGCATGAGATAACCATAACTTAGGCCATACAGTTAAAAGCAAAGGAGGAACGATCAAAGGGACCACTTATTGCCACTTTTAGGCTTAGTTTTAAAAGTGAGGACCGAAATTCAGCATTTTTTTACAGTTGGGTGAAATTTCTATTTAACCACAGTGATACTTTGAAGGCAATAACTTCCAATGGCACACAAACAGACATACCTACAGTTTTCGGTACAACCTGACCATATAATCCAATAACGATTCTACCTGCATGAATCCAATTAATAAAAGGTGAAGAGTAGAAAATGAAGGAAATTGAGAGTGACATTAAGTAGCTCTGGCGATAAATTAATATCTTGAGACCTGCAAAACTACAGGAGAAAAATCAGTACCTAAACGTTGCTCCTCAATATCAATATCCAAGTATACTCTATGAGTGATCTCATATTCCGCATCTCTATTCTCTTGAGCCTGCACAACAATTCAAAGTTATAGGTTAACATTATGGTGACTGTACTGTAAAGTTAAATATAAATGACAGGACTCATATTGCCACACAAATAACAACCTCCAATGGAACACACTACAGATGACAATGGATAATGGAAATTGGACAAAATGAAATTAGTATATGTTTACTTGCTATGGTCATTAAAGTCTGCCCACACATAAAACCATGGCAAATCAATGAAACAGCTGTTCTACAAACTGCTGGTAAACAGGAAAACTAAACCCGAAAGCTGAACCTACTAACAAGAACTTCAGTCACTAGACGTCAGAGATAAGCTAGCAAAAAACAGGACAGATAGCAAGAGTACATACACAATCTTATAAATAACAACAAGCTTGGGCCAGAAGCAAGTCTACTCTCAAATCGCAGGATATGCATGAACTTGTTTAGAAGACCCCACTCTTAAATCTCAAACAAGGTGATTGACTAGAAAATGACAATGATCATTGAATCAATCTTCTTAACGAGTCTGTTGCATACTTCAATTCCAAGGAATTCTACCAATTCAATCACCCCAAAAACTCACTCTCCAGCACCTATCACCTACATTATTCCCATGGTCATCACTAGATATAGTCATCAACCACTAGATTGCTAGGTAATGAGGTCGCAAGCAAGCTTAAACCACGAGCATCCAACTCTCAAATCTCAAATGAGTGATCACTGAATCAATCTTCTTAACGAGTCTGTTGCATACTTCGATTCCAAAGAATTCTAGCCAATTCAATCACCCGAAAAACTCAGTCACCAGCACCTATCACCTAGATTATTCCTCTGGTAATCACTTGATATAGTCATCAACCACTAGATTACTAGGTAATGAGGTAGCAAGCAAGCTTAAACCACGAGCATCCATATCTCCAGTTCAACATCCTAACCACAAAGTACAAATAACCAAAGAGACTGGCATAAGTTGAAAGCAACAAGGATCACACCTAGATTTCTGATCAAGCAATTCTAGCTTCTGCCTTCGGTCATCACATAAAACCGCAATTAAAACTCTTCAACAAATATATGCATCTCCAGAATGGACTAAATCAGCACAGCACGAGTAGATCAGGAAAATGACACAACAGGGAACTCCCTACAAGGTTCAGCTGGACCTAAAACCAATAGTCAAATTTCATTCACTTCACTGATTCCCAATCGAGGAAAAAGAAACCCACATCTAAATTAGATCACATACACACCAAACCCTGACACAACCCATCAACCACGACCAGATCCAAGCTAACTGCCACAAAACAAATGAGAAGCAATCAAGGGATCGAATAGACTGGTCGAGCTAAGAAACCGTACCGTTTGTGAGTTATAGAAGGCGAAAATGAGCAGAATTAGAATGCCAGTGAAGAGAATGAAATATTTGGGATGAACCCAGACAAGCATCTCTCGGCGCATCTCGCTCGTGATGGGGTTCCCGCCGCCGCTCCTCCCTTATTACTATTACGTATAATCACCCGCCGCCGTTGCTCGTCTCCGGCATCAACAAAGATGTCTACTTTCTCGATTCCGGTCCATAGAGAGAAGAAACCCAAAATCCTAAATTTCGCTTTCGATCTTCTTCTTCTTCGTCTTGTTCAATCAGAAGCGTCGCTGGATTCCACCTTGATTGAAGTCTGAACCCGACCTTGAACTAAGAGCGCAGAGAGTGGGTGTCAGCTGAGATGGCAGAGCATGTGGGGAGATTGAAACGTGTGTTTAGTGTTTACCGCGGTGGAGAGAAACTAGAGAAGGTGAGAAGGCAAGGCAGGGATGAGTAGTTGAACGGGAAATTTTTTTAATTAATTACTCTCCTCCTGTATTAATTGCCGGTGCTATTCTTCCTTCTTTTTTCACTTTTTTCCCGATTGGGTGTTTGGGACAAACAGTAAAGCAGACCAGAACCACCTTTTTTCCCACCTTCAATTATTTAACTTTTTGAGTTCTCTATCTCCATAGTAAAATACGAATAGGCAAAATACACGTTCATGGTCACAATTTTCAAGTTTGTTATAATTATGGTCAAAATTTCTGAAATACACAAAATGTCAACTTCCGTTCAAATATTTAACAGTGTAATTGGACTGACGAAAATATTGAGTTGGAAAAACTTCGTCCCCACCATTCTACGTGGATTAACAGAAATAAAAATAAAATATATAAAAATAATAATAAATAATTAATTAGATGGAAAACAAACAAAAATAAAAAGGCGATGGAGGATTATTCACCAACTCCGCCATAGGTTTCCCCAAACTCTCTACCCCTTCTCATCGAAACTCCTCAATTTAATCAAACAACCCAGCTCCGCCTGCGGTGGAACCCAATCAACACCCCAGCTCCCTCTCTGAACTCCCCTCCAATGGCGGCATCAAGAAGCTCGGGACTTTCAAGAAATCAAGCTAAAAGAGAAATAACACCAAAGTATTTTAACGTGGTATCGTCAGTATGACACTAGTCCATGGTGAGGATCTCCCTCACATGCTGTAGTTTTCTTATTACTTTGTTAACGAGCTACAAGTAATACAAGGATACTTATAGTATCCGCTTTATCCTAGCTAATTCGACCTAGGGTAAATTACAGAACAACCCACATAATTAACATCCTCCCTCAAATTGATGTTGAGTGCGCAACATCAATTTGCTAAAAAGATACCAATGTCTACTGAATGCTAATGCCTTCGTCAAAACATCTGCAGTCTGGTCTTCTGTTGACAAATGACTGATCTGAATAACTCTTTCAGATACAAGCTGCTTGGTGTAGTGAACATGGACCTCAATATGTTTTGTTCTATCATGCAAGTGAGGATTGACTGCAATCTGTATTGCACTCGTATTATCACCATAGATGTGCATAGGCATCTTGCACTGGACACCCAACTCCTGCAAGACTCGTTGTAACCAAACCATCTCTTAACTAACTTCTGACATTGATCGATACTCTGCTTCAACAGAGGACTTTGAAACTCTGTCGTGCTTCCGACAGCTCCAAGAGACAAAGGATTGGCCAAAACGTACACACCAACAAGAAGTCGATCTTCTGGTGTCAAGACATCCTGCATAATCAGCAACAGCAACAACTTCTATCATCGACTCGCCTTTTGCAGGAAAGAAGAGACCAATATCCTTTGTGTGGTTGAGATATCACAGTAATCTATTCACTGCATCAAGATGGGCAATCCGTGCTACTCCCATAAACTGACTTATCACCTGAACTATATATGTTATATCTGGTTGAGTATGCGTCAAATAGATCAGACTTTCAACCACACTCTTGTAGAAAGTCTGATCTTCTAACAACTCTCCTGAATCTCTGTTCAATTTGAAATTCTGCTCCATGGGAGTGGCACATGCCCGTCCATCCTCCATCCCTGCCGATTCCAACAAACCAAATATGTATTTTTGTTGGCTAACAAATATACCAGAATCTGATTGCCTAATCTCCAATCCCAAAAATTAAGAAGCAGCACCCAATTTCTTAAGATTGAAGGCCTGATGCAATGACGCAATTAACTCTCGAATTTCATCCTTATCACTTCCTGTTACAATCATATCATCCACGTACAGTAGCATAACTGTAATCCCATGGATTGTATTACGAATAAACATAGACAAATCATTCTGACTCTGGAGAAGGCAGCCTGCAGGATAGTACCATGAAACTTCTCGAACCAAGCACGTGGTGCATGCTTTAAGCCATAAAGAAAATGTCTAAGATGCAACATCACACCCGGGCCCCCTTAGAGTAGCCTTTTGGAGGTTCCATATAGATTGTTTCCTTAAATCCCCATGAAGGAAAGTATTCTTAACGTCAAACTGATGCAAATCCCACTGGCGAAGAGCAGCCACGGCAAGAACACTGAGAACCGTATGCATCTTCACGACCGAAGCAAAGGTCTCTTCATAATTAATCTCATATTCTTGACGGAAACCCTAGGCAACAACCCTAACCTTACACCGCTCCAAAGAACCATCAGGGTGCATTTTGACATTATAAACCCACCAAGAGCCAATAACCACAGCACCAGGAAAGCGAGGAACAACATCCCACGTATGATTCGCCTCAAGAATATCAAACTCGGCTTGCATGGTTGCGTCCCAGAGAGGATTGCCCTTGGCAAAATGATAATGAGACATAATAGGAATCAACTCTGCAGAAAAGCCAACATAATCATGTAGGCGAGCTGGAGGATGAACAAGATTGGTGCGAAGAGAACGACGGAGAACAGGGAGAGGAGGTGGTGTGCCAAGCAGAGGAATTGTTTGCAGAGCTGGACCTTGATGAAGACTCCATAGAAGCACCAGAACCGGACGATGAAGTAGTGGAAGGAGAGGATGCGGCGGGAGACAACAGGGGAATGTGCAGAGGGGAAGCATCAAGAATGGTCAGCGAGACGAGAAAGACCAGAGATCTAGGAGGCGAAGGGCGCTCACCATGGTAGTACATCTAGTGTTCAAGAAAAAACACATGGCAACTGGATCATAGCACAAATATTCTTTGCGTTGATGACTGTACCCCAGGAAGACACTCTGAACTGTCTTGGTAGCCAATTTATGATGATCCTTCTTGGGAAGAAGTACAAAGCAGACACAACGACTCGTCCCGAATATCACAATGAATTCCCGCCTAAGGTCCGAGTATAAACCTTAGTTGGGTGCAACACAGGGCAAGTATGTTTAAATATCGATTCGGGCCGGTCTTTGTACCCGTACTTCAATTGTTTGAAACATTATCTAGCAAATCGGTTTTGGTTGAAAATTTTGCTAATTAAAGTAAAACAAGGCAAAAGTAAATGGTTTTGAAAGCTCTTTGTGAGAAGGATCACTCGGGTGTAGCTTCCCCCTAACTACTACCATGGCATGTGAATCGAAGTGATTGCTATGGGCAAGGTGACCGTGAACCGCTAGGAAATGCAAAAATGGTCGTAGACCACTGACACGCCAAAACACAACACCAAACTGCGACCAAGTGTAATCGCAGTCCGGGAATGCAGTAACAGGCAAGTTTAATTATCAACCCGGGGTCTAGATCTACTGCTTACTCCGTGATTCTCTATTATCTAGCAAACTAATTCGAGTGATTGTTGCGAAAAGTAAAAGCAACAAGAAAGCAGTAAATTGTTCGGTTTCTAAAGCAGGCAAGAGTCACTCGGGATTGAGTCCCCCTAGCCCCTTAGTTAGGTTCAATTGCAATTCCCTGGGTTGATTTACTATTGATTAGACTGCGGAAGATCCGACAGTAGCTTGGAATCTCTTAAGCTGACCAAGCCCTCTCAGTCTAACTACCCGGCAGACGACTAGTCTTCATCGGGATAGAAAGCTGAGGCTATGAATACAGAACTCCACTACTGGCGCCAAGAACACCAGTACAAAGCAGTAAACTGGCTAACTCTCGTATAGCCAATCTCCTACTATCGAATGAAGAGGCTCTAACAACCTAATCAGATTCTATCTATCTCAGGTTGCAGCAGAAATTGAGACAAGCTGATCAGACTCAAATCAATTCATTAAAAATGCGTCATTCGATTAAAATCAAACAGTAATATCATCCCAAGTCATTACAATCAAATCCCTAACACAAGGAACTAGGGTTCTTCATAC